TGGTTTTACTTGGTTCAGACTGTGACAGAGCCCTGGTTCTTCCTCTTAAAGAAGGTATTTACTTTTGATTTTAAAGGAGCCCACAGATGATGGAAGAGTTGGACCTTTTTTGTTTTTTTGTTTTTTTTTTTTTTGGTTTTTCGAGACAGGGTTTCTCTGTGGAGCTTTGGAGCCTGTCCTGGATCTCGCTCTGTAGACCAGGCTGGCCTCGAACTCACAGAGATCCGCTTGCCTATGTCTCCCGAGTGCTGGGATTAAAGGTGTGCGCCACCACCGCCCGACTAGAAGAGTTGGACTTTTAAAAGAGACTGGATATTTTAAAAAGACTGAAATTTTAAAGACTGAATTTGTAAAGACCGTGGGACTTTTAAAATTACTTATGATTTTAATGTGAGATCTTGGGGATGAACGGAAGTATGAAAGGAAGGGATGTGGCTTAAAAGTGATATCTTTGTGTGTCAAGTTGACAAAGGGTTGTTGGCTGGTTTTGTGTGTCAACTTGACACAAGCTAGAGTCATCAGAGGAAGGAGCCTCAGTTGAGGAAAGGCCTCCATGAGATCCAGCTGTAAGGCATTTTCTCATTTAGAGATTGGTGGTGGAGGGCCCAACCCATGTTGGGTGGGGCCATCCCTGGGCTGCTGGTCCTGAATTCTATGAGAAAGCAGGCTGAGCAAGCCATGGAAGCAGCACCCCTCCATGGCTTCTGCATCAGCTCCTGCCTCCTAGATCCTCCCCTGTTTGAGGTGCTGTCCTGACTTCCTTCAGTGATGAACAGCAATGCTGAAGTGTAAGCCCAATAAACCCTTTCCTCCACAACTTGGCTTTTGGTCATGGTGTTTTTTTTTTTTTTTTTTTTTTTTTGGAATAGTAGAAACCCTAAGACACATGGTATAGCTTCTAGAGATCAAATCTGGTCCTCGGGTGCCTTTAACTTCTGACCATCTTGCTGGCCCATTCTATTTATTTTATGTGTTTTCTTTTTTATTATCTGAATATAGTGATATATTTTCAAACCTAAGTAGTCTTCCACTACTTGAGCAGTTTATAGATAAAGATTTAAACTGATATTTTTTATTTGGTTCATTGAGCCTTTACTTTTCAGCATTACTGTTTAGTTCTTTTTCAGAATCTCATTATTGAATTGCTCTTTCATAGTCTATATATGTTCCTTAATATAGTCAGCTGTTTATTTGTATCCTCTTTAAATTCATCGATCATTTTTAAAATTGGTCTTCTGAATTCTTTGTCTAGCATATCATTCATTTGGATATTTTTGGCGTCATTTACTAGGAAATTAGGGAGTTTTGGGGGAACTCCTGCTAACTTGTTTTTCATGTTTCTTGTGATTCTGTGCTTAGATTTATACATCTGTAGGGATGTATAAATGTAAAGAATGTCTCTCTTACACTTTGTAATGTTTTTATTAGCATATATTACAATAGTGATGAGTTTCATTATGGTATTTCATTTATGTCTCTGGTGTTGCAGAGTGGTATGTAGAGAGAGCACTCTGGCTAGTTCTCCACTCGTCAGCAGTGTGTTCTAAGGGATGGGAACCATCCATACTCACTCCCCTGTAGGTGCCATTTCTCAAATCATTCGTCACCCTGCTGTTGCTAAGCGGTGAATGTTTGGGAGCCGGACTCTAAGCTTCCTCTGTTTGTGGCTTCTTGGGGCTGGATTGTCAGCTGGGGGGTGTTGTGTCCTTTATCTGGAATGGTTTGGCTGGGATTAGGTCATGGGTAGACAGTAAAGTACAGTTTTTCTCAGCTGGAATGGTGTGTAGCTCAGCCACAAAAAAACAAAGTCTTTGAGGTGCTGGCCTCAGTCCCCAGTGGTGTCCAGAGAGGAAAACAAGGCACAGTGACTACATGGGCTCAAATCAGATTGGAAGTACTGCGTGAACCAGTTAAGAACAGCCACTACAGACCAATGAGAATAGAGAAGAAGGGCAAAAATGATAGAGGTTCTAAAATGTTAAAAATGGTAAAGCAAGGAAAGAAATGAAAGAATGATTGGTGAGAAAGTATGACAGAGAGGGAAAACCAATTAAAAATAAATACAATTAGATAAAAGCAAGAAAAATAATGAACGAAATGAAAGTGTTGGAGAAGTCCTTGTTGTCAAGGTCCTTGGATTGGAGAAGCTTCTGGATTATCTGCTAACTGGGAACGAGTGGGCATGGTGTGGGGGTGGCGGGCGGGCAGGCCTGCCATAGTGAGTTCTGCTGGGCAGTCTGAGGGCAGGCAGGCCCTCCCAGCAGGGTGGTCTGTGTTCCCTCACTCCGTCGGCTTATCGTATTTGTACCACAGCCCCCTTACCTTCAGATGTGCGTGGGCTAGGTGACCACACCCACTCCAGAGACCCCTGATTTGTGTCCTGGAGGGCCTGGTAAATGCCCAAGCTGCAGGCTGTTTCTGAATGCCTGAAGGAGCGTGGGGGTAGTGCTGGGGCTGATGCAGGGCATGGGGAGAGTTTGGAAATGCGGCAGCACTCAGATACGGCCAAGCTGAAGCATGTGCCGTTGCCGCCTCTTCTTCTGAAGTCAGGACCCCCTGACAACTGTTCCTTCTGTGGTTCTCACTCCGTTGTTTAAACCTTCTGTTAGGTTTGTGAGAGAATCTCTCTCCATTTTACAGCTGTGACTCATGGCATCCCCCACCTTGTCCCTGCCACATGGCAGAGTGGCCCCAGGAACCCTGACTTGTGATTGCCTTAAGGGTTGTGATGCCCTGAGTAGTTTGGTTCCTAAGGATAGGAGCCTTCTCCAGATGGTACCTCTTTGCCATGCTCTGAGAGATGGGTTTCTTCTCCAAAGCCAGCCTGTCATACAGGAGTCCCTTCTGAGACTGAATCCCTCACCACCTTTAGGACTCGTGGGAAATGTGGGTTTGCCCTCTCCGGGGGCAGCAGCCTGTTGTTACCTTTGGGTTTGTCCACATTTTGCACTGTCTTGTGCAGAGGTTGGGGCCTCACTCCCTCTGCTGGGCAGTCTGGTTGGAGCTGGGGAATGCTCTGTAACTTAAGCTTCCTTCCTGCTTCTTCCAGCTGCTTGGTTTTCCTGTCCCTTCTTGATTCCTGGGGCGCCGCTCCATCTCTTCTCTCCTTGAAATAGGATTTCTCCATTGCTGGTCGTGCAGTCACAGGAGGTGTCCTCGTCCACAGTTGGACCTTGCAGATCTGAGTATTTTTCTTGATGGACCTCTACTTGTGTCCTTTTCTATTTCTGTCTAGGCGATTTCTGTAGTAAGAAGGCTTTTGCTTATAACTGTACTTCAGAGTTTTTACTTTTAATTCTTTCACTTTAAATAAATTCAGATTTCTGTAGAATGAGATAATTTGATGTTTTCTTTGTATATTTTTGACTTCCTGTTGTTATTGGGTGGGGCCTCGTTGTTCTATGATATGAAGTCTAGGTTCTTTGTGTCTTGATCAATGAATTGGAAAAGACATGGAATAGTAGTAGTGAATGCATACATTTATTAAAAGTGAGAGTAAAAGTATGGAGCACATGCCATACAATAGGAGCTAGCCCAAGCAAGTGTGTGACTCAAGAGTCTGAGTTCGTTTAGGGGTTCCATTTTATAAGTGTAGGCTGAAGAAAGAGTGTTCCTCAGGAGAAACAATGGGATAGATCTTTACCCTGATTGACACATGAGTAGGTACTGTCATAGAACTACAAGTGCATGGGCTATACATCCCATAATTTTAGTATATATACATCCAGTCACGCATGCACATGAGATGATAAATAGGGATTTCCCCCAGTCGGTCACTTCAGTGACGCTGTGTGCTTGTGCCTCCTCTACCTTGTTTACCTCTCCTCTAGTGTCTGGCCCGAATTACCCACAGGGGGTAGGTAATCACTGTTACCTTCCTGGGGAGGCACAGACACATCTTCCCAAGAGTTCAAACCTCCCTGAATGTCTTACTTTGAAAGTCTGTAGGTAAGTTTTAATATGATATAATGTGTGTGTGTGTGTGTATGTGTATGGTAGAAATATTTCCATTAAGGACTGAATACATTTTATGCAGCCATAAATTATTTGGCCCATATTAAATTTGTATATTAAATTATCTTTAAATCTAATACAGAGGATACTTCTAGGTCAGTATAATATATGAACATAGAAGCAGTTTATCATCAGTCTCAACTGCCAAACTACTGATTCTCACTTCTTTTCTTTAAAATAAAATAAATGTAATAATATCTATCATGGGAGATTGTTATAAAGAGTAAAAAAGGTAATATATGAAAAATATACTGATTGCCACTTACCCTACCAAAATGTAGTTAATTTATAATGTATGTAATGCATTACTTCAGTTGTCTCTAAAAACAATGCTAAAGAAGCAGTTACTTCAGTGCCAGAATTACAGATGAGAAAAGTTTGTGAGTTGAAGAATTTTCTGAGTCTCAGATAGATGGGCACAGCCAGAATGCAAATACATGTTAATGTGGAAACAAAAAAGTGTGATCTTTTCACAAAAGCGTACTTTTCCTAGGACATGATATTTAGTCCTTTTTTTAATCTTTCCTGACTTTTTTTGTCTTTTCAATTTTAAGAACTGACTGGTTGTGTTCTTGCACACCTTTAATCCCAGAGAGGCAGGCAGATCTCTGAGTTTGAGGCTTGGACCCACAGCAAGTTCCAGGACAGCCAGGGCTACAGAAGCCCTGTCTACAAACAAACAAACAAACAAACAAACAAACAAACAAACATTCCTTTGCTTGCTTGCTTGCTTGCTTGCTTAAGACTGCAGATATCAATTTCCAGGAGCACTAGCTTCCCCATCCACGATTACAGACACTATTCATAGATGTGTGTTTCACTCATATACCATTGACTCTTACATTACATACAGTTTTATCTAGTTTCCAGAATACTCACTTTGAGTATTGTAATGTTTTCTGTGTCATCCAGTAGAAGGTAAAGTAGCCACATTTCTGTTTAGCATCTGGAACATGGCTAATGTAACCAAGGACCTGAAATTTTACCTTAAAGTAGATTCCAGGTGGCTGCTCTTTCGGCCTCTGCGACTTCATAAGTTTGTGTATGTGCGGATCAGCACATTTAGTGTGTTGTTGGTAATGGTGGCTCCTCCTTCCAGGCTGAAGACTTTAGCAGAAGAGCTCACGCAGACACAGCAGATGCTCTTAAACAAGGAGGAGGCTGTCCTGGAGCTGGAGAAGAGGATTGAAGAATCTTCTGAGACCTGTGAAAAGAAGTCTGAGTGAGTAACAGAAATACCATCTGAAAGAATACAGACACATGGATGTCTTTTTACAGAAATACTTGTTACATGCTGTTGTGGATATGGCATTTCCAGAAATGGAAGTTTTCATGTTAAAATGGTGGAATTTCATGTAGTTACATCATATGACTCTGGAAAGCTTTTTGTATTTCTATGAAATGTGATGTTCAATGACTAGTTTCATGTTAACCTGACACAAACTAGAGTCATCTGAGAAGAGGGAACTTCGGCTAAGAAAATGCCCCCACCAGGCTGGTCTGTGGGAAAGCAAGCCTGTGGTGCATTTGACTGATGTGGGGTGGTCTAGCTCGCTGAGGACAGTGCCACCCCTGGAGCACTGGGCCTGAGTGAATAAGAAAGGAAACTGAGGAAGTCATGCAGAGCAAGCAGTGTTCCTCCATGGCCTCTGCTTCAGTTCCTGCCTCCAGGTTCCTGCCCTGCTTGAGTTCCTTCCCTGACTTCCCTCAGTGATGGATGGTTACCTGGAAATGTAAACAAAATAAACCCTTTCTTCTCCAAGATGACTTAGGTCATAGTGTTTCATCACAGCATTAGAAACCCTAAGACAGCTGTGTCCTAGAAAATGGTGTTGTGTTTGTAAAGATAATGCTCCGATCAGATGCCTATGTTTTAACAGTTTGAACTACTTCATGAAGAATTCTTTGTTACAAGATGTCTTTGCTGCTCAACATCTATTTTTTTATGAGACTTACTGTAAATCCCTTTGTAAAAGGATACAGAGAAGTGTTATCCAGAAATTGACTGCTGTTGTCTTAAAAGGAATCAAATAAATTAATTAGAATGCACTGATCTCCTTTGCATATAGAAATCAGCTCCAGATTTACTTTATTATTTTGGCTTTCCTGGTGTTTGTCTAGCTGATTTCTGACTTGAAAATACCTTTCTGGCTCTTTTGATTTTACTTGTCTTAGTATATTTCTGTCTTTTGGTAGATGTGTACACTCACTCATGCATGCAGGTACAAGAATGTGTGTTAGGTGTGTTAGATGTGTGTACTTGTTCATAGGTGCAGGTACAAGAATATGTATTAGGTATGTGTACTTGTTCATGGGTGCAGGTACAAGAACATGTGTTAGGTGTGTGTGCTCTCTCATGTGTGCAGATAAAAGAATGTGTGCATCTCTGTCTTTTGATAGATGTGTATAGTCAATCATGTGTGCAAGTACAAGAATGTATTTTAGATGTGTGTACTCTCTCATGTGTGCAGGTACAAGAACGTGTTAGATGTGTGTACTCTCTCATGTGTGTAGGTCCAAGATGTGTGCATCTATCTGTGTGGAGACCAGAGTTCGATGTCAGGTGTCTGCCTCAATTGCTCTCCACCTTATTTTTAGAGGCAGGGTCTCTCATTGGGCTGGGACTTGATGACTCAACTCGATGGGCTGACTAAACCCCCGGGATTCTCTTAACTCCCTAGCAGTGGGATGATATGTGCTTGTATTCTTGGCTTCAGAGGCTTTTTACATTATCATTTATTCTTTAGTAATTGTGTGCATGAACTCAATGTATCTAGGTTGTATGGACACTCATTGCCTACTCTTCAATTCCTCCCACACTACCTTATCCCCCCCCCCACCTTCCTGCCTCCTTCTTCTTCTCCTTCTCCTTTTCTCCTTCTCCTTCTCCTTCTCCTTCTCCTTCTTCTTCTTCTTCTTCTTGTTCTCTTTCTCTTCTTCCTCTTCCACCTCTTCTCCCCCTCCACCCATACACTCAGTCTGTACTGTTGGTGTGCACATAGGTGTAGGGCGCCACCCAGTGGAACAGGGACAACCCTACCGCACTGCTGCAGAAGACTGAGTCTTCCTTTCTCAGCAGTTATTAATTGCCAGGAGCTCCTTAACTCAGGGTGAGGCCTTGCTCTCCACTCAGGAATATTGATTGGCTTGATCTTGTGCAGGTCTTGTGTTGTCAACCACAGCTGCGGTGAGGTCATGAGTGTCCAAGGGACATACCTTTGCAGTAGTCTTTCCTGACATTTGACTTAAGAGTATTTCCACTCCCTCTTCCGCAGTGTTCTCCCAGCCTTGTGGAGGAAAGTGTGTGACCTGGAAGTCCCATTTTGGGCTAAGCCTTCCTTCCATGGGCACACAATTCTCCGTACTTGGGCTGGTTGCTCGTCTCTGTATTAATCACTATTCACTGCATGAGGAAGCTTCTCTGGTGTAGCTGAGAGTTATACTGTCCATAGGACATACTTAGGAGGCACTTTAATTCTGTGCCTGCTCAGCAGTAGTAGTCCTGCCTGTGATCTCATCAGCACAGGGTCATGGTCTTGATTACAGTCCAGGGAGGAGTTTCCTCTAGGCCAGGGCTTCAGTGTGATTAGAAAGCTGTGGATCCCCCCAGCGCTCATGCCACTGTTGCACACATGGCTGTATCTCATCAGGTCGGTCGCTGTTGTCGTTTGCAAAGTTCACAGCTGAGTCCGACTATTGATGGGTTTTCTCCAACAGTCTGCATATAAAACCCAGCTAGCAGGAAGGAAGCTTGTAGGCCTGTATCGGCTTGATTTCTCCATGTTCTGTGATCAAAGACGGTGGTGTTTTTAGCAGTAGGATCAGATTATCAAGTTTCAGTGGGGTAACCTGGAGCAATGGCAGTAACCTGTTTTTGTGGGTGCAGGGATTGAACTCGGGTCCTCATGATTGTGTGCAAGAACTTGACCAATTGAGTCATTTCCCCGACCCTGTCTCTGTCTCTGTCTCTCTGTCTCTCTGTCTCTCTGTCTCTCTCTGTCTCTCTGTCTCTCTGTCTCTCTCTGTCTCTCTGTCTCTCTGTCTCTCTCTCTCTCTCTCTCTCTCTCTCTCTCTGTGTGTGTGTGTGTATGCATGTGGAACTAAAGCTTAATGTTCATTATCCTGAATCATCCCATTTGTGGGTTTTTTGGTTTGTTTTTTGAGTCAGGCTCTTCCATTGAACCCCTGCACCCATTCGTTTGGGTATGTTGGCTGACCAGTGAGCTCCAGGACTCCTCCTGGCTCCCTGCCCCCCACCTAGCACTGAAGTTACAGGTCACAGGAACACACAGCTGGCTCTCACATGGGTGCTTGGGATTGGAACTCATGTTCTGATGCTTGCACAGAGGGCACCTTAACAGCTCCTCTTCTCCTTAGCCTGGCCTTGCCTTGTTCCCGATAGTCCGTTGTGATGGCTAGAAACCCCAGCAGTGCACGTGGGCATGGTCTCCCCAGTCCGGAGCACAATGGATGAGCTGCCGACTCTCAGGCTCTCATTACTGCCTTCAGATTTCAAAGCTCTCAAGGGTTTTGTGATGTCTTAGATCTCTCTCATCTGCACCCGCTCTTAGTTTTTGGCATAACTCTCAACTATTCTCTACTTCTATCAAATTTCTGATCTTCTCACTTCCTTTATTTTAATCAGCAGATGAACCTCTGTATCACAGAAAACTCTAAAGCCATTTAAAGCATTTAAATGGCTTTGTCCTTGTTTTGGGGGAACTAGATCCCTGAATTTACACACATTTCCTCTTAGCACCCACCCTTAATGCCCATCTTTTTACAGTAGAATTGACTTATTCTAAGTCATATCTTGTGATTTTATAAAGTAGGGCCATCTTTTGTTTTCCCAGAAATTTTTATTATTTTATTTGTTATATTTACCCTTTCCTCCCTCCCAACTGGGTCCTTACACTTACTTTTTCAGTATTGACTAGTCTTTAAAGTCCTCCGACCCCCCATCTCTGAGGTGCTGGGTACATGGCTAGGCCGGCACCTGCTGGGCAATGCTGTACCACTCAGCTGTACCTGCAACTGCTGAAGCCCTCTTTATTCTCAGTATTTCCCCCATTTACCCTCTGTCTTCTCGTCTCTGAGTGTGAACTCATTCTAGGAGTAGTTCTCACTCATTCCCTCAATTACCACTTAGTTTTTAACCCACATATATCTAGCCTTTGCCCCATTACTGTAGAAATCAGCATCTCAGAGATCACCCATGGCCTGGAATAGGGCAGCTGTCTTTCCGGACCTCTTCATCACATCTGACTTTGCTGATGTCTTCCCGTGTCAAGATGACCCCTGTTGGTGTCACTCTTGCTAGCTCCCTCTCCGTCACTCAGCCAACCCAGTCTGGAGTTTCTGAAGGCATGTTGCTAGGCGGTGGGTCTCTTCTCTAGATGGCTTGAAGATGACTTATGTTGATTATTATCACTTACGATTGGCCTACTTGGTGTGCCTGTTTGAATGTCATAGAAGTGCTCATTGTTTCCCCTGCCCACAGCTGAGTCAATCTTAATGCCCCGCCTCCCCCCCCCCCCCCCCTGTGCAGCCTCAACTTCCCAGTCGGCTCAGTAGTCTTTCTTGAGTGAATGTCAACACCATTCATCTTGTTCTATAATGGACATTTGATGCCACGTTCCTTTCTAAAATACCGTACAAAAGTTGCTTCCAAATAGTTAAACCTTTCCCCACTACTTAAGAAGCCTTGGATAGTTTTCTTACCTCTACATCTATACAAGGTCCATTTCCCTGTCTCCCCAGTCACCAAGTTTTGGCTTTTTCTTTTTTCTTTTTCTTTTTTTCTTTTTTTTTGTACAAAAATACCCATCTCCAGAAAGTACAAGCTTTCTCCTGAATCTTTCCTGATAACAGTTTTGCCCAAGTTTGGGCGGGGCTGGCTGCTCTCTTTTGCAGTCTTTATTCACCCAGGAGGAGCGTGAGAGTTTTCTCTTCTTTTGCCTGGATCAGGTTTTTCTGCATTGTGTTTCTTCTTTCCTCCTTGGCGCCCCTCCTCTTCTGTGTTTTCTTTGAAAATTTCACCACCTCCAGTTCGCGATGCCGCCTCACACGTGCGTGAGGGCGTGTGCCGTTAATGGCCCCCACAGCGCTGGCGGCTGTGGAGCTGGGACGTTCAGCCTCCTCGGGCATCGGCCTCCAGCATCTCAGCCCAGGGGACATACATAGTACATGCCAGTCCTGTACCGAGGCCCGTCCAGGCAGGGCACCCTGGAACAGAGGTACCCACAGGTAGGGGTGGAGCCGGCCTCGGACTTCACCCAACCTCCCACGGAGGCCCTGCAGGCTAATAGAATTTTTAGGAGTTAGAAGGGTTAGCACGGCCGGGTTTTCAGGGGTGAGTCCTAATGGGCCCAATCATGTAGCCTTTGTTATCCCGAGTACTTATTGTTAGCGTCAGCGTACAGTGTTAAAATATGGAGTATATTGATGTCACTGAACAGTTACTGCTAGCTCTCAGTGATTCAGGAATTGGTGGACTGAACTTTGCCTCCATATTTATATGTTAAAATCTTTTGCTAAACAGATGTTCTGAATAGGACTCTACAGTGATACATTTATATTTTTCCCCTCAGTCTTTCCTGGGCAAGTCCTTAGTTTGTGCCATCCATATCTACCTACCTACCTACCTACCTACCTACTTATCCATCAGTCCTCATATAAGTCTAGACATCTTTCTCTATATAAATACACATATGTAATGAGAATAAATTTTGTAGTTAAAAACATGAACTTATGATTCTTTTTAAGGCTAGGTGTGGTCATAAATATCCAGTCTGGGCTATATAGTGAGACTCTGTATTTTAGAAAAAGTATTATCTTTATTTTTATAATACTTTATTATCTTCAGATACTTTGTTATTTTAAAGTAATAAAACACTAAAATTACATTTCTTCAGATATTCTAAAATTTTTCTATTATATGTTCATATTCTTAAATTATTTCTAAATAATAGAATCCTAATAAATTTTTACCTAATAGAATTACTTGTCCTATCAGCATATAGTAGGGTCTTAAATTACATCTTTGAATTTAATATGTGCCTTCAATTCCCAGTATTCACAGCTTCTGAAGGGCCGTTTAAGAGATTTATCCCAGCTTATGTCGGAACCAGGAGTGCCCAGTACACTGGCCCTGCGAGGTAGCAGTAGTGCTGTCATTCGATTTCTTTCTTACTTTTCAGCCAGGTAGCACGTGGTTATGAGCTCTAATGCAGAGACCCAGGCCGAGGGTTCTCCACCCTGGAGTGTGGTTACTATACCCAGTGAGATGTTATTGGAGCAAAGTAATTTTTTCTTTGCAGATGGGTTCCAATTACAGATAGCTTCTTAGTTACCTGTGAACCCAAACCCATTTCCTCCTCTGGGACCCTGTCAGCTTGAATCTGTGCAGCCCCGAGCCTGCTACCACAGTCTGTGTGAGTTTGTTCCTGTAAATGCACAGTTAATTTTCTTTGTTTGGCTATTTGGTTAACATTGACTTTTTGCAACTATTATCCCTTATATATAATTTTGTAATTTCATTACAGAGGAAGTGTGTTTTCCTTCCTCTTGCCCTGTGCAATTACCCCTTCTTAGTTACTTTCTCTTGCATTTTTTTGTTAACCTTTATGTAAGACTCCTGATTCAGTGCATTTAGAGTATTACTTTTAAGCATATAATAATTATGGCTATCTGTGACAAATCATTTTTGAATAATCTTCTGGATATATATATATATATGTGTGTGTGTATATATATATATATATATATATATATATATGAATGTATTATGACATCTTACCTGATATAATTTCTAGAATAATTTCTTGTACTGTTGTTGTAGTCATGATTTCTGCGGTACTTTGCTTTTGGAATGTGTGTCAGAAAGAAACCCCCACAAAGTTTAAAAAGTATAGTAATATAATCTTTTTCAGGGTCTCCTAGTATTTTTTTCTCACAAAAATGATTGTCTTAAAAATTAACATTCTCTGAATTGATTTTCTGAGAAACAGAAGTGCCAATTTATTGCAGAAAAGCAATTACCCACTAATACGCAAGCCAGCATGAATTTACCAAGAAATCTGTACAGATTTTAAAAATAGGTCACAGATTTACTGAATGATGATGATGTACATGGTAATTATCATTTATTAAATTCTGCTGTTTAGAGCAGTCTGTCTTCTGGACATTTCTAGGTCTTCTCCAAATGTTTTTTATCATAAGTCTAGTTTCCCCAACTTCACCCTGTTCTCTGAAATGCCTTGAGCCGTTACTGAGGGCACCACCATTCTTCCTCACGATCACTGAGGTTGTGTCCTGCTCAGTTAGACCGGGACGGAGTTCTCCAAACAGCAGAAGACACAGCTAAATAGCTGAGTGTGCTTATCTCTGTGTATTTATTCTGGGTATGTTGTGATCTTGTAAGTCAGTTGCCTTACTATCTAATTCGGAAGCATTTCCTGTTGTCCAGTCTGTGTCTATTAATAACTTACCACAGTGCATGGTGCACTTACTTTTAAGGTATTAGTATCTTATACTTATGGGGTAGACATTCCTGCCAGCACTTTTTCTTTCTTTCTGGTGGCCTTCCTGTGGGGAAATTAGCTTGCAGTTCCCACTGTGTGGAGCCCTGAGGGCCAGCTCTCTAAAGGAGGGATGGGAAAATCTCTTGTTTCCATTTTGTTCCTAGGAGAAAGATTCATAGACTTAACGCTCACTCGGTCATCGTCAAGTTTGAATCCCTGCCATGTTAATGTTCCCTGATTCAAAACACATACCTCATAATATACAGCTCAGTGCACAGGCTATCTCCTTAATTTTATTAATTTTACCCCAGGAACATGTGATACTTTTAAGTATTTAATTCTTAAGATTTGAAGTTAATATTTTGATTTTTATCATTTTTTTTCAGTCTGTTTAGGACTTATACTTCTAAGCCTAGCTCCTGGTGAGGTAGACAGTTGATGTATAAAAGAAAATAAGTGCCATAGACCATAATTTATTTTAAAGTGTCTTGAATGACTTATTTCCATTTTATTAATCCTGACATCCAGTAGCCATTGTTATTAAAATCTGTTTTCATATTTTATATGATTGTGAAGGAGTGCTGTGGAGGAAATGAACGTTTACAAAAGTGTAATCTGCACACAAACACACAGACACATATACACACATAGACATACACACACAGGCACACACACATAGGCACACACACACAGGCACACACATAGGCGCACACAGGCACACATACACATAGACACTTGTACACACTTATACACACACAAAACACATAGACATAGATACAGACACACATAATCACACAGGCACAGATATACACAGACACATACAGACACAGACACAGATACACATACAGAGATACAAATACACACACACACACACACACACACACACACACACACACACTTTTCCATTACTGCTTTCACTTCTTGTTGAGGTGAAATAATATATATTTATTGTATTTTGTTGTAGCATTGTGCTGCTTCTGGGCCAAAAACAGGCACTTGAAGAGTTGAAGCAGTCAGTCCAGCAGTTGAGATGCACTGAGGCAAAGTGTGCAGCACAGAAGGAATTATTGGAGCAAAAAGTACAAGAAAATGACGGGAAAGAACCGCCTCCCGTGGTGAATTACGAAGAAGATGCGCGATCAGTCACATCGATGGTAAGCTCGGGAGCGTCCACCACCGGCCAGAGGGTCTGGGTAATAAGTGAGCACGAAACGCATTCTGGTTTGCTGTAACAGATTATTACTCTTGTTAACATGCAGGTCCTATTAAACTTATTTCTAAGTACAGAATAGACTTACCTGTCAGTCACCTCAGGTCACCTGGAGAGCACTTCAGGAGCCACCCATAGACTCAGAGGACAGAAAGCGCTTCTCTTGCCTTCGAAACTGGAAGGACAGACTGCAGTTGTTTTTATTCCTGGGAGGCAGCAGGAAGGTAGGGTTCAGTTCAAGATAGAAGTTAGAATGAGGAGAAAGCTATTGTTTGTTCAGAACCATGAAACTCCATTTGCCTTAGATTGATACTGTGTTTACTTTTTTTCACAGTATAAAAAGTGATTTAGCTTAAATTTTCATTCTTTATTTATTCAGATTTACGAACTTAAAATTTACTTTAATTTTAGTTTCATCTGCTTAATGCCTAGTATATATCAATCTGTCTATCTAATCTATACATCCATCCATCCACCCACCCACCTACTTACCTCATCTATCTGTCAACATAGATGTTGGAGCAATTTTGCTCACTGGGGACATTTGGCAGAGTTTCTAGACTGTTATGTTACAGTGACAAGTGGATACTATCTAGATCCCATTAAACCTATTATGCATAGAATAGTCCTTTTATTCATATGCCCAGTGAGAACTATGCAGGCCAAAATTTCAGGAGTGCAATGCTTGAAAAATTCTGAGGTAAGTGTTTATTGTTTTCTCTGGGCAGCTCGATGTATTCCATAGATGGAAGTATTTTGATTAAAGAATTTATAGTCAGCATTTTAGTAACTTTGCGGTTTATGTTATCTTAAATAATATAATGTGTTAAGTAGATCCAAATGTCTCCACAGACCATACTTAAAACTGCAACAACATATTCATAGAAATGAATATGAAGTACTTGAATATTATAATCATTGCTGCTTTTGTTATCAATTGAATTTTGCTGATGTACACATCACTTTGCATATTATGGTCTGTTCTCCAGTATCATGCTTTCTGTCAGGATCTGAGCAAAGGTCCATGGGATTCTTTTTCTCCTTTATGATTCTTGATACCTTCTGGACATACATACTCTTTCAGAAGAATTCACATTGATTTCTTTCACTTGGCTTTTGAAAACCTTTTACTTTTTGTTTGATTATTATTTGTAACATTTCTTTGCCTGCATATGAGTGTGGAATTGGCTACTTAATTACTTGATGGTTTGACAGTCTTAGATTATAATACTTCATAATTTATTTTAAGTAATTTAATGTGCATATAACTTATACTAGTATTAGTGTGGTAGAATAAAAAGTAGTTATTCAAGTTGCCAGATAATAGCTATTCTCAATGGATAGCTATAATTTAAAAGCATGGATTTAAGAATTTCTGAACCTTTAGAGTTTAATTCTTAAGTTATCAAAGAAAAGATGTTTACTAATTCAATTGAATAAACGTATTTTCATAGAGAATAGACAATAAAGTTTAAGAAAGAAATTGCTCTTTCATACCATCAGCCTCTTTTCTTAGATTATTTATATGATTTTATAGCCAATGATACTACCTTGCTAGTTTTAAATAGTGCTGCCTGTTTTATTGTCTTCAATTTATTTTCAGTAATTGAAATAGTGATTATAAGTGTCTCTTATCTACTCATTGAAACAATGCCTTTAGTAAGTTTTTAATTAAAAATTAAAAATTTGCCATGTGATGGTGGTATACACTTCTAACTCCAATGCTTGAGAGGCTTAGGAAAGATGGAGATATCATAGGAAATATGAGAAAACTCCATCTCAAATCAAAGCAAACCAAAATGAAAATTTAGTAAGGCTTTCATTGAAAAATTCACCAGGTTTTCAAAAGTAACACTGTATGTTATATGTAGTTTAAAATAATAGGATAATATTTTACAAATTACATAAGATTTCCCACAAACTGATGTCAATTAAATGCTTTGTAGTATACTTATGATGAAGGAATACATCTGATGCACAGTTCTTGTTGTTAATACTTCCACTGTATTGGTGAAACTTTTGCATTCTTTGACTTTTTTCAACTAGTATTTATTATATATATATATATATATATATATATATATATATTCAGTTTCATTGAAAATAAAAAGTATAAGGTTTAAATGGTTTTCTCCCAAATGACTAAGCATCGTTTAATGAATAGCATTATAAACTAAGTTAGACTGTGTGTGAGGGGGCAGGGCCTGAGGGACAGGAGGACAAGAAGGGACATTGGGAGAAGAGACAGTGTCATGTGTTGCAGATTTCAGTATACCTATCATCTGTCTGTCTGTCTACCTACCTGTATCTCTATGTCTATCTCCCTCCCTTCTGTAGAGTAGGAGACATTAAAGCAGGATACTGTTCAGGGAGGAAAGGGCAGCCTCTCAGGGAACTGAGGACTTACGTGTGTATATTGGACATCAGTTCTATAGCTCTTGAGATTAGAACATTGTATCCTCTGAGTCAGGTTAGGAGTGTGGGCTCTGTGTAGACTCCCCTTGTGTAGTTCTGCAAACATCAGGGTTTTCTGATAACCAAGGAAACATAAGCTCTGGCTTTACTATTCGTTTATTAAACACTTCTTTTTTTTAGTTTATTAACTGTCTAGTAGTAGAACACAATAAGCTTTATCTCAGTATCTGTTAATTGAGGAATTAGACTTCCTTTTCACCCCAGAATTACTTGTTTGTTTTATGACAACTTTGGACCAAATACAGTGATTTTGATGAAAGATCTGCTTGTATGTCAGATCTATGTGTCTCGAGCTGAAGGCAGCCATAGAATGCCTTCCTACTTCTAAGACATGTTTAGCTCTCCTATAAGAGAACAGGCTTCACTTTGATATTTCCAAAATTAGCATTTTGTGTGAAACCCTTTGATAGACTGAGACACAACATATATTTATCTTCTCTGCATATATTGAGTAGCTGTTCTTAGTTGAACAGCAGTAGTAATAGTCTTCTTATGCTACATTTTCAACCTGTGAAGTATCTGACCTTTTAAGAATTGTCTGTTATTATGGCTCATAGTATTCTTCACAGTAGTGTCTGCTGTTCAGTCTTATGCTAAGAACACTAACCTGCTCTAAAATGAAAGTAGATTGACAGTGTTGTTGCGTTTTATCTTTATCATTGTGAGGTACGTTTTCTTTCAATCACTGACATGAAATCTTCATTGTGAGCCTTGCTCACCAAATGCTGTACTGAGCAGACTAGCAGACCAAGAGTCAGAAGACTGGAGCATCTTTTCTGTCTGTAATTAGTCAGGCTTCTTAAACATCTGTGAGTTTTCCATTCCATAGATACCGAAGAGAGGCAATAAGTATACGTTTATTCTGTATATTGAAAGCACTGTAAAACAAATAGTTCTACTTTACATTTTTTAAAGTAATTATATCTTAGTTCATGTATAAGTTAACCAGTATATACTCACTGTAGGAGTGAGTTAATAGATCTATGAAGGATTATGCTGTGTGTTTCTAATTGATAAAGCAAAGCCTAATGTAATGCCTTTGAGTAGCAGTGTGTATACATGGGCATGTACATGTGTCTGAATGTCCCTTGCTTACTCCCCAATTCTCTTCCTCAGAAGTAATTTTCCAGAAGTATTATCTGCAAATAGAAGCATGCATGTAAAATATATGCTTCCTGTTCTTTTTTACATAAATGGAAGAACATACAATATTATCTGATGCATTTCGCTTGTTTTATGAACTGAATCTTAGATTTCATTTTATAATAATGTATATACAATAACTCTTTTTCTGCTTACTCATTCAATAAGTAGGTTATTTATTGATGGTCAGGTGTTATGATGGTTACTTTTAGTTTTCAACTTGATGTAATCTAGAAAATCCTGAGAAAGAGACTCTCAATGAAGGATTGTCTTCATTGGGTTGGCCAATGAGCATGTCTGTGGGGGATTGTCTTAGATATTTGTTATGGGATGATCCGTCCCATTGTGGGTGGCACCATTCCCTTGGAAGGGGTTCCTGAACTCGATGAGTGGAAAGATTGAGCCAAGCAAGCAAACAAGTGAACATGTGTGCATTCATGTCTCTGCTGACTGTGGATGTGGCGTGACCAGTTCCCTCAAGCTCTGCTGCTGTGTTCTGCAGTAGTGGACTGAAACCTGGAGTAAGTTAAGATAACCCCCCTTTCTCCAAAGTTGCTTTTTGCGAGGGTGTTTTTGTCACAGCAACAGAAGAGAAACCAGAGCAGCCATTCAGTACTATTTTAGAGTCTTACAACACAGCCACAAGACACATAATTCTTTGTGCCGGTATTGGCTACTTTTCTGTTGCTGTGAGAGAATACCCATAGGAAAAGCAACTTTGGGAGAAAAGGTTTGTTTTGGCTAGTAGTTCAAGAGAGGTAGATCTTCTTGGCAGGGAATACATGGCAACAGATGAGAAGACATGGACAGGAGCAGGAAGCTGGCTGGTCACATTTTCATCACCACACAGGACGCACACAGTGAACAGGAAGTGAGGCCAGGTATAGACCTTCAAAACAGTGCCACCACCTGGGGGCCAAGTGTTTAAATATATGAGCTATGGGGGACATTGCGCATTCAGACCACCTAAGTTCTGCCAGGGTCTTTTCTTCTCATTGGTAGAGACAGCATATAAGTAATTAAACACGGAGTATGTTTGGTGGGAAATTCTTTGGGAAAATGTAGCAACTAGTGCCAGAAGAGGGATGTGAATAATGTGTGTTTGTGTAGAGAGGTCAAGGGAGACTCTCCTGGTAAAGTAGCATCTGTACAGAGATCAGAGGGGGAAAGGGGACAAATGAGATTGGATCCAGTGACAATGATCAAGGCAGAACTTTAGTTGTTTTTTGAGAAGTTTAGTTACTGTGAGTCACCAGACTTAATCTTTCCAATAGCCAGTTTTCAAAACAGTGGTAGTTAATTGTTTCATTTTTCCTCTGAGAACAT